AAAAATTTATTTATTAAATATACAACTAAAATCATTAACATGATATTGACTTAGAAAATAATTAATTATTAAAAATTACATAAAAATTACATAAACATGATAGACTTAGAAAATAATTAATTGTTAAAAATTACATAAATGCATGTTTTGTTTTGTTTTGTTTAAGTAAATAAAATTTTGTGTAAAAGTGACAATAGTATTTAAATAAAATTGTGATGTTGGTGGCCCAATGGTGAAAACTTCGAAATGTGGATAGAAGAAGTGGGGTTCGAATCCCCTGGTCTACACAAATTTGTTGAAAGTTTTCAAAATTTATGAATCGGATGGTTCATTGGTTCAGAAGCCAACAAGTTTGACCAGGTTTTCCCAATTTTGATCGAGTTTGACTAATTTTGATCGAGTCTTATTACAAACCAAGTTTATGTCATAGTTTGAATCAATTTTGTAACTGATTTTAGTTTAACTGATCGAATTGATCAATTCAATCCAAATTTTAAAACAGTGATTACAAAGATTGAAAATTTGAGACTAGTAATATGGTATAAGTCATATTATTAAATAAGTTGATATTTATAATATTAAAAGTCATAATAAAGTAAAAAGAATTAATAATCAAATAATATAAGATTTACTTTTCAATATTTAAAAAAACGTGAAATTATGTCATCTTATTAGTTCTAAAATTTTCATCTCATTTATTTATTTTTGAGCAACCAAAACAAAATGTATTTATTAATAAAGGAAAGTATGAGGGCTACTATTGTCCATATTATTCAAAATTACAGAACACTTCTCAAATGAAAATAGGGAAATGATATGTATACTCTGCAAAGTTACACACTCTATTAAACATTAACAGTTTTTGTTACTTGTATCATTAAAATTAATAGTTTCCATTATTTATGCTGTTAAAACTGACAGTTTTCGTTATACATTAACGATTTCCGTCAGTGTACAACAAAATATGTAACTTTACATGATATATATATATATATATTATTTTCCAACACCATAAAACACTATACCCACACTGCAATCTACGAAATTCTTTCACTATCTTTTGATGTTGAACAATTTCCCATGCATACATTCTTAATTGAGAACACCAATCCTAGTAAGTAAAGGTACAACCTGCAATTTTTGCCTTAAGCCATTCAAATATTTTTAAATCGACTAGCCACAAAGGAGAATCTCGATCTATTGGAGAGGGGTTGAGTAACTTGAGTTGCAAGAGGAGGATGTAGGTTTCGGTTTATGTAATGTGATAGTGGAGGGATGGATCATTTGTTTTGTGGGTGCAGGGAGGCATGGTCACAATGGATGCAAGTTTGTTGTGGTGGGGGATGGAAGGTGTTTTGCCTAACTCTGTATGGGGGTTGGCGGAATATTGGGTGATGGGTGTTGGTGGGCAGCTGGTGCATGGAAAGAAGGTGGCTGGGCATACATTTTTAGTGGTAACTTGGTATATTTGGCACGGGAATGTGTTCTAGAGAAAGGCTGCTGAGCTCTATTCAAGCTAAAAAAAATTTATAGATAAAAATCAAGGAAGTTGGTTGTGCATTTTCTTATTGCGATTGGACTCTAAGACCGGTAGAATGTGCGTGGGACATTGCCAGGCATGGAAGAAATAAGAAGACTTTTAAGCTGCAGAAGAATTGATTGTTTTGTTCATAGGTTTTTTTTTTTTTTTTGAACAGAAAAAAGTGACATTTATTAAAAAGTGGAATACAAGAGGTACTCCAAACCCATAAACATTCCAACTTGAAAGACATAAATTAATGAGAGCCGAACAGTCCTTGCGAATTTTGGATGCTTACTGTATGGTGTCGACACCAAACCTATGTGTCGACACTACACCCGTGTCGGGTTTCTGTCCACTTTTGCAATTTCTTTAATGGTAGAATAGCACATCTAGTCCTTCAAAAACACACCACAGGGTTTTGCATCCAATCCCAGCCGGAAAACATACAGCCAGCAACCCTTCCTCAAATCCAAAAAAATGCCAAGACTTTGGACAGATTTCTTCTTAAAACATACATAAACACACAAATTCAGAAATTTGCTAACCATTCCTCATGCTCGATCTAGGATCTTGCAGCCAGTCTGAGAGGGAAAATTTGTGTCCTCTTTTTCTCTCCTTGAGCCATAGGTTGTTTACCTGTTTTGTTGGGTGCTTTGTTTAGATTATCATAGACTGCATGCAAAGAATGCTTTAT